GCCATCATTGTTGTTTGGTGGGCCCGGGATGGGGATTCAAACCTGCCACCTTAGGTGTATGTGGCTGGTGCCTTAGCCACTTGAGCTACAGGCGCTGAGCCAGTTTCCAGCCTTTTAAGGAAAATGGGGAGACTTCACTTTGTTGAATGGTTTCTCTGTTACTTAATGGTCTATGAAGTGGGGATTAGGTAGTCTTTAGTGAATTACAGCTCATTTTCACTGTTGAAGAATGGGCATATCTTTATCTGAAAACTCTTAGGGCTGGTTGATACTGTGGCAGTAAACTACCAGCAATCCAAAGGCGTTTATGTTTATATTCCTTTTATTCCTATATTCACTGGGAATACACTGATGCAGCTCCCTAGCAGACAAGAGATCCGAGTGAGGAATCTGTTTAATGTCGTGGGTTACAAGCTACATTGACAAAAAAATGGAGATTACTTGTGTGCACAAAATTATGGCTTATAATTAAAAATCAAACCAGGTTGTTGGTTCTCAGTAAGTGCAAACAAGGAGAATACAGCACTTGTATAGATGTTTCCCACATACATGAGCTCATAAATTCATTGATTACAGCAGTTGTCCTACAGAGTAACTTACACAGTAGAGGGGACTGCCTGAACTCTTTGTTCTGCTTACACTTTCCCACCTTAACTAATCATCAGATAACATTTAGCTGGATCCAGTAGCCTGACATTTATTTTACTTGCCTCATTGCAGCAGCCTGTGGTGGCTAAGGGGGTGGTTATAGAGCCTGGCTAGAATCAGTCTCCTATGTAACCGTCAGTAGGATTGTTAAGATCTCTGTCTTTACTCACTGTCAGAATGAGTGTAATAGGCCTTAGAGTGTGCTGAGAATAAGCAAGGCTGCAAACGAAGTGCCTGGAACAGGGGCCCTGCAGAGTAAGCTTTCATTACCTCAGTGGCAGTCACTGTTAATGTAATGGTGGTCAGTGAGCCAGTATTGAGCTTTTATTCTGCTTGTCAGTGTCAAAATTTATAATCACTTAGTCTTTGCATAATGTTTTATTTTCTTTGTTCTGTAGAGACTTTTCTTGGTCTCCTGGTGGTAACATAATAGCCTTTTGGGTGCCTGAAGACAAAGATATTCCAGCCAGGGTAACACTGATGCAGCTCCCTAGCAGACAAGAGATCCGAGTGAGGAATCTATTTAATGTCGTGGATTGCAAGCTACATTGGCAAAAAAATGGAGATTACTTGTGTGTGAAAGTAGATAGGACTCCAAAAGGTACCCAGGTAAGTAGCCAATGGAATAGGTTATTCCTTGTCCTTTAAAGTATTCCTTGTCCTCTAAAGTAGTTACCATATTTGTTGGCAGATGTTAATGAATTTGTTTTTTGGTTCAGATTTGTGGGTTGAGACCCACCTGATAGTTGACAAGTCTTAGATAGGATCTGTCCATGTTCTAACTGAAGAATGTAGTTTCATTTTTTAGTGAAACTTTTGAATAGTAAAACTTTTATATACTTTAGTATATAAATTAGAGTTCACAAGGGAATATAGTAAAATTCCCTCTGTACACCAAGCTTCTGTATTGGTAGTTAAGTGAGCATATTATTTTCTTTTTAAGCATAAGATGTAGCATACTCTGCACAGTTCTGCCTGGACTCAGAATTTTTCTTATTGCATCATTTAATATTTACCTTATCAAAAAATTGCCTGAGTTTTCCTTCTAATGGGCATATTCCTCTTTACATTAAAAAATTTTTTATTTTATTTTTTGAGACAGAGTCTCACTTTGTAGCCGTTGGTAGAGTTGTGATGGCATCATAGTTCACAGCAACCTCAAACTCTTAGGCTCCTCAAGTGATCTTCTTGCCTTAGCCTCCCAAGTAGCTGGGACTACAGGCACCTGCCACAACACCTGGCTATTTTTAGACATGGGGTCTTACTCTTGCTCTGGCCAGTCTTGAATTTACGAGCTCTGGTGATCCACCCACCTCAGCTTCCCAAAGTGCTAGGATTATAGGCGTGAGCTACCGTGCTCTGCCCCAATTCAGTGGCGTTTAGTGTATTCACAAAGTTTGTAGCCACCACTGCTGATTTCAGAATATTCTCATCAGCCTGTACAGAAACATCACTCCTGTTAGCAGTTACTCTCACATCCCCTACCACTCATCTTCTTATTCCCTCCAGTTTCTCTGTGTGTTTCCTTTTTTGGATGTTTTGTAGGTGGGGTCATAAAGGATATAGGTTTCTGTATTTGGCTTCTTTCACTGAACATTTTTTTTCACAGTTCGTGTATGTATGGGAACTTGTCCCAACTTCTTTATTTTGAGACAGAGCCTCAAGCTGTCGCCCTGGGAGAGTGCCGTGGCATCACAGCTCACAGCAACCTCCAACTCCTGGGCTCAAGCAAGTCTCCTGCCTTAGCCTCCCAAGTAGCTGGGACCACAGGCACCCGCCACAGTGCCGGCTATTTTTTGGTTGCAGCCGTCATTGTTATTTGGCAGGCCCGGTTTAGATTCAAACCCACCACCTTAGATGTATGTGGCTGGTGCCTTAGCCACTTGAGCTACAGGCGCCGAGCCCCAACTTCTTTTTAAGGCTGAGTAATAGTCTGTTGTGTGTATAGAGCACAAGTTACCCATTCATCTGTTGACCCACATTTGGGTCGTTTCCACCTTTTGGCTGTCAGGAATAGCACAGCACCTGTTTTTTGACACAAATACTTCTGCCGTATATTCCACTGCATTGAAGTAGTTTAGTAGTCCCTATTAGTGAACTTTTAAGGTACCTTGGAACTTTGACACATAAGCTGCAGTCAAGATTCCTGGGCCTGTTTGTGCATGAGTGTGACTTTTAGAGGGCAGTTGTCCTCTAGTAGGGCCTGCGTCAGAGTGAACACAAGTGCATGTCTTCAGATGGTTCCCTGTGGAGATTGTGCCAGCCTGTACCTCCATTGGCACTGGAGTGCTAATCACTCCAAATGACCACGTGTTTACCGGGAATATAAATGTAATCTTTTATTAAATTATTAAGTTGTCCTTTGATTTAAGACTTTTTCCTGATGCTTTCAATGTCCAGAATGTCACCAGTTTCCTTTTTTTTTTTTAAACAGGGTGTTGTCACAAATTTTGAAATTTTCCGAATGAGGGAAAAACAAGTACCTGTTGATGTGGTTGAAATGAAAGGCAAGTTTTGTTTTACTCATTTTGTAGTTGAATGGGCCTTAAGTGCTATTTTACACTTGATTACAAAACTTTAGCATGAATTGATTGGCTAAACAATGTGGTGCAGAGTGTGAACTCTTCACCATGAGCTGCCATCTCTAAATTACAGAACATGTTTATAAGTTTAGGATTTTCTTACCCTTTCAACTGCAATCTTTTGGTTTTTTCCAACTACTAATTAAAGACAACTGCCTTTCCCCCACACCTCTGTGATATATACTGAGGAGGACTCTAGTTGTTGTTGTTGTTGTTTTTGTTTTTTTTTTGAGACAGAGTCTCACTTTGTCACCCTAAGTAGAGCTCACAGCAACCTCAAATTCTTGGGCTCAAGCAATTCTCTTGTCTTAGCCTCCCAAGTAGCTGGGACTATAGGTGCCTGCCACAATGCCCAGCTATTTTTTAAGTTGGGGTCTTGCTCTTGCTCAGGATGGTCTTGAACTTGTGAGCTCAAGCAATCCACGTTCCTCAGCTTCCCACAGTGCTAGGATTATAGTTGTGAGTCACTGTGCCTGCCTATTGCTCACATTTAGAAGAGAATTTGTAACAGGTTTTCATTCTTTGTTTTGTTTTACCTTGAAGTAAAGGAGAAAGGGAAGGGGAAGAAGAGAGGTAATAAAGGATGAAACCTGGGCACCCTGTCAGGGTAGAAAGAAGACCTGCCTCTCAGGAGGTCACAGGATTCTAACTACTGTGGCTACAACATCATGTGTGCACAGGGAGTGTCCACAACGTGGGGCTCACCATAGCCTTGTTGGATATCACTTAGGAAGCAGAGTCCTGGCCTGACAAGGACAGTTCCCCATACAGTATCTCACAAGTGGAATAAGCTACTTTCAGACATGTGCCTTTTCTTGCTGTTGCTTGCCCTGTGGTGGTTTTTCATGAATTTAAAGTGTTTTTGTTTTGGTTTTTTGTTTTTTTGGTTTTTTTTCAAGACAGAGCCTCAGGCTGTTCCCCTGGATAGAGTGCTGTGGCATCACAGTTCACAGCAACCTCCAACTCCTGGGCTCAAGCGAGTCTCCTGCCTCAACCTCCCAAGTAGCTGGGACCACAGGCACCCGCCACAACGCCTGACTATTTTTTTGGTTGCAGCCGTCGTTGTTTGGCAGGCCCGGGCTGGATTCGAACCCACCACCTTAGATGTATGTGGCTGGTGCCTTAGCCACTTGAGCCACAGGCGCCAAGCCATGAATTTAAAGTTTTAAGGAAGCATTTCTCTGGTTAAATAGTGAACATTTCAGCTGACCAAGAATGTTTTATTCATAACTAACCAAAAAAGAAGCTAACTTTCTTACTATTTCTTATAGAAACCATCATAGCCTTTGCCTGGGAACCAAATGGGAGTAAGTTTGCTGTACTGCATGGAGAGGCCCCACGGATATCCGTGTCTTTCTACCACGTCAAAAACAATGGGAAGATCGAGCTCATCAGTAAGTCATCTGACCCATCTCCCTTTAACAAGCCAGCATAGATAACTGGACGGGGTCACTGCCCAGCAGCAAATACGGGACTGACCTAGGAACCCCTCTGGTCAGGCCCAAATTCACATATAAGCAAGTCCTCTATGGGCATGAGTGACATAGGTGAGTGGTGATGAGGATGGTGAAGACTCTCTGAGGGAGTCCTTTACCTCACAAAAGGCTCATGCTGCCTTGAGTGCCCATTGGGTCCTTAAGGTAGTGTTTCTAAGACTTCTATTCTCTACCCTTGTTTTTGAAATAGGAGGGTACAGGTGATTAGGTAACTGTGTGTGTGTAATACCCCTCCCTCAGGAGGTGTCCTGCATACCCTTGTATTGTGCCTGTTAGGTAAAAGCACACCAACACCCCCCCCCCCCATTTGAGTTTAATCATGTTTTTCTTTTGTGTGGATGTATATTTGTTCGTCTTCTGGCTTCATATTAGTATTGAGTACATTGGTTACTTGATTTTCTAAGTACTTTACTAAGTAGAATGTTCTTCAACTCCATCCAGGTTAGTATAAAAGATGTAAACTTTCTTTTTTCTTTTATTTTTTGAGACAGATTCATTTTGCTGTTCTTGGTATAGTGCCATGGCATCAAAACTCATAGCAACTTCTAATTCTTTGGTTCAAGCAATCCTCTTGCCTCAGCCTCCTGAGTAGTTGGGACTATAGGCGTGTGCCACAACACTCATCTATTTCTCTTTCTTTCTTCTTTTTTTTTTTTAAAGAGACAAGGTCTCTCATGTTGGTCTTGAACTCCTGAGCTCAAGCAATCCACCTACCTCAGCCTCCCAGAGTGCTAAGTTTACAGGCATGAGCACCTGGCCTCCATCTTCTTTCTGTAGCTGAATAGTATTCCATTGTACACATATACCCCAGTTTATTAATCCATTCATGTGTACATGGGTACTTGGGTTGATTCCACATCTCAGTGATTGTGAATTAAGCTGCAGTAAGTATTGTAGTGCATATGCACTTATGGTAAAATGACTTTTTTTCTTCTGGGTAGATACCTAGTAATGGGATTGGGGATCAAGTGGAAGGAAGGTCTATTTTTAGTTCTTTGAGGTTTCTACGTACTTCTTTACAAAAAAGTTGTATTAATTTGTAATTCCACCAACATCAGCCATTGTTTTGAATGAAGTCTTTTTTCTTGTGGTTGTAGCTGCTGTCTCTGGACTTGGGAGTCACATCTTTGTGGACCTGCCCCCAACCCTCTGTATGCTGCAGAGCTGTGGCATCGGGTTTTGCCCCATTCCAGGCACCCTCCTTCCAGGAATGAGTAGGTGCTGAAACCCAGCCACGTTCCACCTCCCTGGAGGTGCTTGCTCTCATTTTCAGCGTGGCCCTGTGGCCCTCACTTCTTACTACAGTACTTGCCTTCACTCCTTGCCCAGGCAGGTTCTTTGAAGACGTTCTCACTTTTTTGTCCTTATGTCCTGCCCACAGTAGGAACTCGGCAGTGGGATTGAGTAAGCACTCATGTTAACCTGTGTAGTGGCTATGAGGTAGTCTCAGGCTGTGCTTCTTGTGCTGCTGGTTTTTCACACAGGACTGGCTACTTGGTGCACTGCCAAATATAGCCTTGGTTTACCCAATACTCGAGGGATAATTCTGTAAAGAATTCAGTTTTCATTTTGTTATAGCTCAGCGGTTTTTGTGGTAGAATCACTTAGCTGTGTATCACAAAATTGGTTGTATTATTAATTCTCTTTGATACAAAAATATGGGCCATTCCAGAATATCGGAAGACTTCGCTCATGCCCTGTCATAAAATAGGCCATGAAACAGATAGCAAGTAAAAGTACCTGTGTCTTCTGAGTGTTTTGCATAACATGCCTTTCATGGGGTGGGTTCCTTGTGGACACCAGGATTATTCATCTGTGGCTGTAGGGAGTTTGTGCTTATGTAGGTTTTAACTGGGGCAACTCCAAGAAACCTGTCCCTGCCCAGGGAAAAGTCTGCCTTCTCACATCGCCCCTTTCCCAGTCTGCCCGTTGATTATTCTTTGCAACTACCACAGCTAAGAAGAATGACACCCCACCCCCCAGCTTAATTGTGTCCGGAACACAGGAAGTGCTCTGAGAGGAGCTGACTTTCAGCTCTTACCTCTCCATTTGTTCTGACCAGTCCTTCAGTATATAAGGAATCAAGAGTATTTAGAAAGATAATAAATGTAATTAAGTTTTTATGAGCATATAACTTACAGAAACATTTGTATTGCTGGGAGAGTAGATGTCTTTTGGGGGTCACACATCTCTTAACAGTCCTCTCCCTATATTGCAGGAATGAATATTCACTTATATAAAGGGAATTCTTTGTCCAATTACTCTGTGAAATAAACTAATTAGCATCACAGTGGTAAAATATCCCTGCCTTTTTTTTTTCTTTTTTATGTCTGGGTCTTAACTTATATGTACTTACTGATGGGTTTTCTGGGAAAAAAAAGTTTCCAGAGTCCATTTTTAGACCTATCTGCAGGGGCCACATGGACCCATTGCAGGGGCCTCCAGTCTTGGCTCCACCTTGACTATAGAGCGTTTACAAAGACTCAACGTGGACACTTACTTTTCTTCCAGGAATGTTTGATAAGCAGCAAGCAAACACCATCTTCTGGAGCCCCCAGGGACAGTTTGTTGTGCTGGCTGGTCTAAGAAGGTAGGTGCTGTCTGAGCCCATGAGAAGCTCTCTGCCTCCTGCATTGGAGCCTGTGACTCGTGCTCTGGACTCTGAATGGTAAACCAGTGCTCTTCCTCAAGACGCTGGTAGTGAGGATTTTCCTGCACTGAAAGGGATGGTGTCATTATATGGGACAGTATTCTACCTTAGTGTATCCATTATACTCACTAGACGTAGGCTAAGACCAGACAGGTTAAAGCAGTCACTTGCAGATGCTTTCATTTAGTGACCAAGTAGGCATGTCTGCATGTTAGAATTCCTCTGTAGTTAAACAAATACCTTTCCAGCGATCCAGTTATCTTTGTGTAAAGTCAATCC